CCTTCCTTCCTTCCTTCCTTCCTTCCTTCCTGCTTTCCTTCCTTCCTTCCTTCCTTCCTTCCTTCCTTCCTTCCTTCCTTCCTGCTTTCCTTCCTTCCTTCCTTCCTTCCTGCCTTCCTTCCTTCCTTCCTTCCTTCCTTCCTTCCTTCCTTCCTTCCTTCACTTTCCAATGGTTCAATGGCAGCTTCCCTTGGCTCAGGAGACCAGATCTATCTATAGATAATACTCTATGCCTGAATCTGCATGGTTCTATCTGACATGTCCCAGTCAAACATTAAAGTTGTCATTGTCTTGGGAACATTAAGCTCTTTTAATCTGAACTCTCACCTTTATCCTCTAGTTTCTGCTCCTTGCTGGTTGCATCAATTTTATTGATGTAAAACTGAGTAACTTGAGAACTCAGTCCTTCGGCTGGATGCTGGTAACCCAGAATGGCAGCTATAGGTTGGAGAGAGAGAGGGGGAGAGAGAGTCAGCGACATAGCACAGCTAGCCAGCTTTTCTTTTTCCTGATCAAAACTCAAAATCCCCTTCTTGCAGCCTGAGAAGCCGATAAATAGAAAACAGCCTTGTTCAGCATGCCTCAGCTATGAGGAACCACACAAAATACTCAATGGCTCTGCCACAGAATCATTATTCCTCATCATTCACTCTGAGCTCTGCCACTCAGCTGTAATTCAGCCCCCCGAAGCGTACTTGGAATAAACTGTTCTCCGGATCCCAACCCTCCACGTCACGCTTCAAAAGAAGATGTACCAAAGAACCAAAGAAAACACAACAATACAAACAGCTGATGATACTGATTTCACATTTGGTTCCTTGAAAGAGTTAAGTGTAGGAGTCACACAGATTATTACCCGTATTACCTCCACAGAGATACATAAAGAAGGAATACAAGATAAAGCTGGTGTCAAAGCAGATCTAAGCATAATGTCAAATGTCTGATTAACGAAACACTAAAAAGGACTTTCAGGCATATTTTCTCCTAAAAGCATTTATTAATGTTACAGATACGTCAGCACAATATGGATGAATGCTTAGATCTGCTTCTCTTCCTTACGCATAACATTCCACTCCCTTATTGTAGGGTCATGGTTCACATCTTCCAATCAACTTGGAAGATGTGATTTACTTCTGGTTTCTTTCTCCCTGGCTATCCTTATGCTCCTCCCTCTTTCTTGGTTGCTGGTTTAACTATATAAATACCAGACAGTTCTGCACATTGTCAAAGCAAGAATATACAGTATTTGCAGCGTTGACATCTGGGCTGAAAAACCGTCAAGATTCCCTTGACATGCACCTTTCAACCAAAGGATGGCAGAGAAATCTGGGTTACTCACCTTCTGGCCTGGGGATTCTTTCATAGGGTAGCTCCCGTTCCATACAGCCCTCGAGCTGTGATTCTGCCGATGGCTCAGCGTAGCCTGAATCTAAGCTTAGGTCTGAGTTTCTCCCCGTGGGGACCTTGCTTCGGACTGTGCTGGCATCCCCTAATTCAGGCTGCAGCTCGGGGGCGGAGAGAGACGGCTGGGGCTCCTGCAAGAGGTGTGGGGCCCTTGCTCCCTCCCCAGGTTCCAGGGCGCTCGTTTCAACGGTAGCGGTGGCGGCGGCAGCAGACCCAACGGTAGCGCAGCTGTTCCTGACGGGAGGCTCTTGTTTTTCTGCAGACAGAAGAGGCAGGCCTTGCTCGGATGGCACCCTGCCCACCTGGAAAGGTGGTTGGAATACACTGACTGAGTACCTGAGAAGGAGCAGTAGAAGCAGCTGATCAGAAGGCAGTCTTACAACACCTCCCTCCCTCTCCTCTCCTTTCCCCTCTCAAAGCAACTGTTCCTCCAAAGGCAAGGAGCCCAGTCTAGCCCAAGCCTACAAATGAGCCAGACAGGCACCAATGCCCAAGAACACTGCCGGCACCGAGATATATTTTTACCTTGCGTAGCCTTCCAAAAGTTGAACTAATCGTGCGTAGGTGAGGCGGGACTCGGGTATGCTGACAAGAAAGGGGAAGCCAATATTCTCAGGGCGGCACAAGGTTTTGTGGTTGGACCAGTGCGTTCTCTGACACACTCTGAAAACAAAGAGGCAACAAGTCTCCCATGGGGAAAACTAACGACTCTCTTCCCGTTCCCAGGCAGTTCTCCCCCCCCCCGCCGCAAAAAAAAGGGGAGTCTCTGGTTTTGAGAGAAAGCAAGGGGGGGGGGGCTAACTCACACATTGCAATAGCCAACCCGATAGCACCGAGTGCAGCGCTTCAGCTTCTCTTCCTCCGACTGCTGCTTTTTCTGACAGGCGGCGCATTTGGTGATGGGGATGCTGGTCACCTGAGGGCGCTAAGAGAAGATCCCCCCCCACTTGATAAGTCAAAACACAGGCAGTCCTCAAGCCATCATCCAGGAACCGTTTGAAGTTACGGTGGCGCTGAATGAAGGGACTTGTGAACAAAATTCACCAGGCACCTGGTTTCCACGTGACCACTTCCCGCCTCTCGCGGTCACGTGAACGCCAATTGCGACCTGCCCTGCCAGCTTCTCACAAGCAAAGGCAGCGGGGAAGGTTGCAAATCGCTTGGGTAACTCTCCCCTGCCTTTCTTCACTCACTTGCATCACACCCTCCTTGCCCCCTTCACTCACAGGCATCCTGCAACCTCTTTCCCCAGCCTTCCTGTGCTTGCACCTGCACACAGACACGCACACACAAGCACGTAGACACCAGCGCTCTCCTTCCCAGGTTACTCTGGGCTTGCACACGAGTGTCACCCCACGTCCCCTTTCCCTGGCTTCTCCGTGCTCGCACTCATCCCACATCCTCCTTCCAAAGCTTTCTGCACTTGCGCATTCACATGCATCCACCAGTGTCCTCTTTCCCTGGCTTTCCCGTATGCTACACTGCAGCAACTTATTTTCCCAACACATGTGTAGCCTAGACTGGGCTTCCCTAACCCCCTGCCCCCACCACCCGTGCTCCTTACCTGGTCTCCTCCCATCCCCCATGTTGTCTGTTACCTTGACAACTGGGATTGTCTGAAGGCTGAGTGACTGTGCTTTATGACTGCATTGCTTGGCAATGGCAATCCTGGGTCTCAATTCCAATTGTAATTCAAGGATGACCTGTACGAGCTTGGCAGGAAGGGATCTGCGATGACCTCAACCCTCCTGTGCAAGTTTGAGCATTTGAAGGAGCTTGTTCTTGGGCTGGTTCAAAAGCTGCAACCTCCCCTGCCTTCTCTGACTTACGTTCTACTGAGGCCACTCACTTGTTGGACCTGCAGCTCCACCACCCTCTCCTTAGCCAGCTCTGGAGAGAGCACCTCAAAGCACAGCAGAAGATCTGTGGGGGAGACGGCATCCAACGACTGGGAAGGCAGGAACATACGGTGGAAGCGATTCTTGATCACCTGAGATCAACGAGAAAAGAATGGGAGTCATGCCTCTGGGAAAATGCCGGCCGTTTTCACCAAACTGTTTGCCGGAAAACTTGGCCATCACAAGAGGTTGTACGGGTAATACCGTAGATGGCTGCACAGAAGACCCCTTAAAGGTTGTAAACCACCCAGTCACTCAGACAGTGAGAGGAGCAGTGTATAAACTTGATTAAATAATTAAAAAAATAAAAGTGAAAGTATAACCACAGCCACTACCATAAAAAAAAATAATCCTCAAATGCTGTGGTTGCTCTAAACCAGGGCTTTTCAACCTTTTCACCCATTGTACCACTTTTAGGATATGGCAACATCCAAGTACCACCAGTCGCCTAGCAAGGTGTCAAAAACTTGATGACCAAAAAAAAAAAAAAAGGAAAAAAAGTGATAAAGTACAGGTAGTCCTCGACTTACAACAGTTCGCTTAGTGACTGTTCGAAGTTACAATGGCACTGAAAAAAGTGCCCC